TTTTTTTTTTAAAATTATAATCAAAGATTTACTTTAACAATCAGACCAAAGGTCTGCATTAAAAGATTTACGGTGAAATCTCAACTCTAATTGAAATACAACACAAGAAAATGTTTACAGAACTGGATCTAAGTTTTATATTAATTATTGAAGGAATATTCAGATTCTGGTATGTCTTCCCTTAGATACCTGGTAATTGGTATCCCTGTGTGTATTTTTGCATTGTAAAGACTTGTTGCAATAGTGCATATGGTATTCAGACTCATATTTTAATAAGATTTTGGATCTCTCTCTGCTCATCTTTAATTGCAGATTATTTTATGGTTACTTGTTAAAACATATATTTTTAGTTAATTTGGTAAGATGCCCCATTTCAGATATGAAGAGTTGGTTGAGAAATATGACGTGGAGTACATTGCTGGAGGTATTTCACTAGATCTGGAGTATTGCATAATATCAAAAGCGAATTGAATAAAAGAAAGAAAGAAATCGATTAGCAGTGGAAAAACATAGTTAGTAATGACAGTTGCTACAATTTGTTTTTTTTGCTGGCAGGTTCTACTCAAAATTCAATCAAGGTTGCTCAGGTATGTATCTCTATAGTTAGTTAGTAACACTCTGGATGGTAGTAGCTTTGGTTAAAGTAATTTACCATTACTTCTTGTAGGGATGCTCAAGTTCCTGGCGCAACAAGTTTCATGGGTGGCATTGGAAAGGATAAGTTTGGCGAAGAGATGAAGAAGAGCACAAAGCTTGCTGGTGTAAAAGTAGGTTTAATCACTCATCTTCTCCTCTCATTGTGACGTGCTTCTCTACACTGGCATAAAAATTATCTTATTTTTCATTCACCAGGCTCACTATCATGAAGATGAATCCTCACCTACTGGAACTTGTGCTGTTTGTATAATTGGTGGCGAAAGGTCAAACAATAACAAATTTCTGTATTTTTTTGCTTCAGTGTTTTTTTATAATTGAAATTATTTTATGCCGTTTATAAATAAAGTATGTCCTTCAGCCTGACTTCTACTTGATTGCAAATTTTTGGAAGCCTTACATTTTGATCACCTCTGCTCTGAATACAGGTCGCTTGTTGCAACTTAGCAGCTGCAAATTGCTACAAGTCTGGGCATTTGAAGAAACCAGAGAATTGGGCACTAGGTACTTTGTTGTTGGTCTATGCAGGCATCTTTTTTTTTCTTAATTTTTCATTGCTGTGTAATTCTAATTCAAAACTTCAGTTGACTGACAATTTATTGTGCAATTTTCCCTCACAGTTGAAAAGGCTAAATATATTTATATTGCTGGCTTTTTCCTCACTGTATCACCAGATTCTATCCTGTTAGTTGCTGAGCATGCTGCTGCAAAAACAGGTTAAAATATGATTGAAAATTTTGTTTCTTTTTTTTCTTTTGAAGGAGGTTTCGGATGATTAATTTGTTTTATGTATGCAGATCTTCTCGATGAACCTTTCTGCCCCTTTCATCTGTGAGGATATTCAGGGAGAGATGAAAAGCTCTCTACAGTAAGGTTCATCTCGGATAAATAAAAATGATTGAAATGCTACATATTTGTTCTAAGAGGTCCATTATGTATTCAGGTATACAGATTTTGTTTTTGGAAATGAGACTGAAGCAAAAATATTTTCTAAAATTCAAGGCTGGGAGGTAACCCTTGATATCAGATATTTAGGCAAGTTGTGGTTTTGGATGTAGAATGTTAAACCATTACATTTATTGGTCTTTTTTTCTAGACTGAAAATGTCGAGGAGATAGCTCTAAAGATTTCCCAATGGCCAAAGGCATCAGGAACGCACAAAAGGATAACAGTTATCACACAGGGTGCGGATCCTGTATGTGTTGCTGAGGATGGGAAGGTGAAAAAGTTTCCCGTGGAACTTTTGCCTAAAGAGAAGCTAGTTGATACAAACGGAGCAGGTGCTGTGCTACTAGTTTTAAGAGTTCAAATGCAGTTATTTTACGTATTTATTTATGTAAATAAATCTCGAATGGTCTTTCAGTAAGTTTAAGTTTAGTAGCCTATTTACTGGTGGGTTTTTTACCTATTTAAAAGAGTTCTTTACCAAATAGACTTTAGACTAGACTATGTTTTAAAAAAGTGCTAAACGGCCTTTTTAGTTAAATAAATCAGCTTAAATATGAGAATTAGGTCAAGCTTAGGCTTTATGTAGCAAGCCTATTTTCACATGTTGCTGTTGACTTCAACTGTGATATGCTCTAAATCCATGCTGGCTATAAATTCTGTCATACACATACATACAATACATAATTCCTCTCTGCACTTCTTTTAAATGCATTGGATATTATTCTCATACAACATTGCCTACCAACATGGAAAGATCGTGACATTATTTATGATTTTTAAGGCACAAACATTGGTAGTATACAAGCAAGATGTGGATTTAGTTTCATCCCTCTTATTTTTTCTCTGTAGGAGATGCATTTGTTGGAGGATTTCTTTCACAATTGGTTCAGGAGAAGCCCATTGAAGAATGTGTGAGAGCTGGCTGTTATGCAGCAAACGTTATCATCCAAAGATCTGGCTGTACTTACCCAGAGAAGCCTAATTTCCATTGACTGATTTCTCTCAGTTCTGTTGCCTTTTATGAACTTTTGATTGTCATCAGGAAACATCTTGTTGTATTATGATAGTTGCTGTTAAGTGCTTTTATTTTTCATCCCTTGGGTGAATCAGGAAAAGTTTCACTGGAAGGAAACGGACAATTGAATTGTTATATGGCAGTCTTATTTTTTGTCAAATTTCTTACCAAGTGTTTTTTTATTTGACATTGAACAATGTTACCGTGCTTAGGAAGGGAGTAGGCCTGCTTGCCACTTCGTCTGCGAGTATCAATCGCCTGACCCGATTGATTAATTCTTTTCACATTGGCAAAATTTCCTAAAACACGATTTACTGGGTTGAAATTTTAGATATTTAAAATTGTCCTCCCCTAAAATGATTTTTAATATGAACATTGAATTTGATGAGTTTGTTCAGCAGCTTTACTAGTTCATCTTGTAAAAATGTTAAATTGCCATCTTAATATGCCTTGGATTTCTAAATATTTTAATTCAATTTAAATTCTGTTTCCCTCGTCAAGAGTACAGGGTCTCCGAAGTGTAAATAGTTTACTATATTTACAATTCAAAATCTGTCAATAAATTTTATTTAAAAATTGTAAGCAATGTGATGATTTTTATATGGACATAATTTATCGGACAAGAATGAGACAAAAAGGTGACGAAGTATTTGATTATCGTGTAAGAGGCGATTATGCCTTTGCTTAGACCATATTACCAATTGATTGGTTCTCTTCTGCTGAAACGGATTGCTTGGAACAAGGACAGCTTTGTGCAGCTGGATCGCTGAAACGCTCTTTTCTTTTGCTACCGACCAATGCTTTTGCTATCAGAAACAAATTAGTTTTGTTTAGCTAGCAAATTAAGGACATTCCAGAGCTTAAGTTAATATTTTATGACCATTACTTTCATCAGTATTCACTGTTCAATCTAATTCGAAATCTAAGTCCTTAAAATAATACAATTTAGAAAATAAATTTTTAATTTTTAAAAAATAAAAAAAAAAAAAAATAGAAAAAAAAAAATTTTTTTTAAATTTAATTAAAATTTAAATTGGTAATAAATTATAGTTTTTAATTAAATTTTTATAATTTAAATTTTTTGCTAACATAGTAATATAATTGATATCATATCACTTTGTTTAATGAATTATTTTGTATTAATGATAAACGACTTAGTTTTGTTTACTCTTGTCAAACAATAAAAATAAAATATTATGTTAATCACAAATTTAGACAAAATAATACATAAAAAAAATTAAGGTGATTAAACAAAATATTAACCACATCAATTAATGAATATAAAGTTTTTAAATACTGATGACAAATAAAAAATATTAAAAATAATCAAATTTATTAATAAAATGAAATTTAGTTAAATTATGTAAGTTAAATCATATAACTCAAATATTTAAGACATAAAGAGTTATTGGCAACAGCGGAAGTTTCATTTTAACGGTTTTGTTTTATCCTGATAAAGTAAGTCTTCTGAAGTGGAAGCCCAAATCGAGACCTCGACGACTCATCTTTTTATTTTCATAATCTCATCTTCTCATCTCGTATTGTCACCTAGAGCGTTGAATGCACGGCCATACCGAAGCGCGTGAGGAAAACTCCCAGAGTCATAGCCAGCCAGCGACCACCACCTTCTCTTACCTTTGTTGAAAGAAAATCGCAAGAAAGGAAATCACAACGTAACTAAAGAAACAAATCGGAGGCATTATTTGAATCGCCATGAGCGACCACCACCCACGGCTGCACCACCTTCGCTCCACATCGTACCTATTGAAGGAATCTCTGTCATCGTTCTCATCCAATTTCATCACATTCCTTTTCCTCTCTCTCCTAACCCTCTCCTTCCGAACCCTCGTCGAGACAGGCACCGCCCATGTCACCTCCTTCATCGACCGCGACCCTTCTCTCCGGGCCCTCCTCTCCCGCCTCGACCTCGCCGGAAACGCCCACCATCACGGCCACGGCCACGGCCACGACCTCCCATCCACAGCTGCCAACCACGCCCTCCGCCACCGACGCCGCCCCTTCCTCCACCTCACCCGCGTCGGAACCCTAGACGATGACTTCTTCTCCGGCGACGATGACGACGACCGCTCCCTCTTCGGCTCAATCCCCAAATCCCCCGCCAACGCCACCCTTCTCACTCTCTTCCCCTTCTCCCCCACCTCAGCCTTCTCCGATCTCCTCGCCGACGACGGAGTTAGGGTTTCTCAAGTCATCCGCTCTGGAACCACCTTCAATACCCTGGGATTGTCCTCCCTGTCGTCGCGAACGCCTCGCGACGACGATAGCGGCGACAGCGAGGAGGAGAAGCGGGACGAGAACGCGGAGAGGAAGGAGGGCGTGGATTTGCAGTTTTTCGTGAAGGGGATCGAGGTGGGTCGTCGGGACGCGGCGGCGCTGTTTTTTCTGGTGAGTTTCCTCTCCGCCGCCTATGGATGGGTGATTCTCGTTTTTCTCGTGACGTATTCGTGGGTGTTGGGTGTTGTGTTCGTCTCCGTTGTGAATGATCTGTTGGGGAGGTTTAGCTCCGTTACGGTTTTGGTTTGGGATGGTTCGAGGTTAGGTCTGAAGAGGCTTTCGGGGTTTATTCTGATGCGTTGGGCTGTGAGGGACGCGTTGACTCAGCTTCTGGGGTTGTGGTACTTCGGAGAAATTGAGGATCAGTACTCGTTTTTCAAGCTCTTTGTGAGGTTGAAATTGATGCCCTTCTCTGTTATGTCTCCTTGGGTTAGGGGCTTTGAGAGAGAGATTTCTGGGTTCTTGTTTACTTGGTTTCTGGTGGATACTTTTGTTGCTTTTATATTCTCCGTGGATGCTTGGGTTGCCATTGTGGACTCAAGGAAGAGTGGGAGGGAGATTGTGAAGGAAGGGTGCTATTTGATATCTACTATGTTCAACCAGGCTATTCAGGTTAAGTGCTTGGAGGCTATACTTTGTGGGTCCTTTGTCAGGTGGGGTTTGGGCCGGGTTTGCGGGAGGTCCTTCGCCAAGATGTTTCAGTCCACCATGGAGGTTTACTTCATGGTTACTTGGCTTTTGTTTTACTTTGTAGCAACGTGTAAGGACGCTGATCTTCATGGTAGGAGGTTTGGACAGAGGGAATTAGAGGGCTTGGTTGAAGGTCTCAGATGATATTTGAGGGTGGTTGAACTTGGATGGATGAATGTGGTTTTTTCTTTCTTTTTTCTTATTGTGATGCACAAGTAGCAGCAGCAATGTTTCAAAGGTTCTTTGTGTCTCCCACATTTGCCGTCGCTGTTGCCGCCATTCTCTAGTTTTGTCACCAGCTATGTGTCAAATGTGTACTTCACCAAAAGGCTGATTACTTCTCGTGTATATTCTGAATGAGGGTAGTTCTTATGTATATTATTCATGGAATTGTTGAATTAGTTCACTCAAATATGTGCTGGTGATGATAGTCACAAATTACAGGGTTTGGGTAATGAAGAATGGTAATGATTTTTGTCCATGCAACTTGGGCTTATGTTGTGATGACAAAAGTAACTGCATAGCCTTCTGTTTGTTTGGAATGATGCTCCATTTATTAGGGAAATTTGGTGGCATGACTTGGACATAATCACAAACAATGAAAAGCACTTTAATCTGCTACATAGAACAGGGAAAATTATTAGTTTGAGTTATGCATTGTGTCCCCCTTTTAGAAATTCTCCAGGAAGGCTGTTCATGCTAATACTTTTTTGTTCTGTATGATTATCAAATCCTTTTCATAAGCAAGCCTTCACATTTGCTGTATGTATATAATCATCTTGTAGAAAGTTCATAAAACTTGTTTTGCATCATGGAATTACTCGACTAAGTTTGAATGAGAGGAAATTTTGGCTGATAGCAAAAAAAACTAGGGCTACATCAAGGGGCATTCCAAGTTTTTAGTTATTTCTTGGAGAGCTTTGTGTGTACTTCTGCTAGACTGTTTTTTAATATTCAGAGTAAACAGTTCATGTTTTCTGTCTGGTGTTTTGTATGTTTACTTTATAATAATTTGTCTTCCTGAATTTGCAATCCTTTCCCTTTGACTAGCATCGAGGAATGCGATTTTTTATGTATAAATGTTTTGTTAGAGTAATGGAATTTACCTGAAGATGAATTGTGATATAAACTGTTTGTAAAAGCAACTAGATTGCAATTTAATGAAATGTACTGTTTCTCCTGGCTGTTTGTGAAACGAAAGTTCTTTGAAGGGTTCCCCTTCTCACCTATTGCTGATAACAATCCCATTACTATGAAATACATGAAGCACTTCTTCATGAAAAATAAGTGAGCAGCAGTCTTAGGATTTCTGTTTTTATACGGTTTCACTTGGTTAGCTTATTTGGTCTTCTCTGATAGTCCACTCCATCCAGCCCGGGGACATGGAATGCTGTTTTTCAACCAGATAGCTTCGGAATTGACCTAAAAGAAGGGCCATTACGAGGGAGGGGAGTTTGTCTATTAATTTTTCTCATATTGGACAGTTTTTCTGTTTTGATATATAACCTAAATGCACTTACTTGATCTCATGCCCTTTTTTTGTAAAGCTGCAAGAAGACCAAATACGAGATAATTTCTTTGAATTGCTGTAAAAAAACTGGAGGAGATAATTTTGAAGTGTGCATTGAATAAAAAAAATAGAAGGAAGCAAAAGCATAAAAAAATGTTTTTCAAAGTGAACCTTGCTTTCTTTTCATTATATTAAAAACTTGAACTAAATGAAAAATATTGCATGATTACTTGTATTTGTTTATATCCTCTTTTGAACAAACCTTAATAATTGTGAGTGTTTATATCCTCTTTTGAAATCCTAAGGAGAGCAGTTTTCGAAAGCAAACTTGAAGCAAAAAAAATGGAGACAGCTTTAAGAACAAAGGGTGAGTTTTCAAATTTTATTAGAGAAAAACGGGGAAGGAGGCAGCGACTAAGCAGCAGTTCTAGTTGTGTGGTGTGGACAAACCAAAGTATGAAAGTAAAAAAAACATTGTGTTTGTGTGTAATGGTGAGACAAGACACTCACCATCCTGAACTTATCCAAAACAATCAGATTGATTACTAGTTCAACATTTTTTTCACTCGAGAAAACATCAAACTTGAAATGGAATATATTATATAGAGATAATAGAGGTAGCCAAGATGAACGTGCGATTTGAGAAAGTAGCCAAGGGTCTCCGAGGCCCAGACAATTGCATTCATTCGTGCTAAAATAATAATATAAATTAAAAGCACTCGTAAAATTCACACATTCCATCCGTACATGATGTTCCTTCATAATTGCTCTCAATTCAGAAAACAAAAAGTTAGATACATTCAATCTTTGTCTTTCGAAATCAAGGCATCAAGGCATGAGATCCACGGATCCGGACGACCAATCATATGTATATAAACATATTTTTATTAAGTGAATGATATCATTTTAATAAATTAAAAATGAAAACAAGTTTTTCATTAATGATTTGTTAACTTGTGAAAGGTATGCGATCTCATTTTTATTATCATCTTTTTTTTTTTTTTCAATTTTGAGGCTTAATCTGATATATTTTATAATAATACATTGAAATGTGTTAATTTTTAAAACAGAAGCGAGATATGCCGGAAGAAAAATAGTATATAATAGTAGTTAAATATCTATAACAATGTGGATTAGAAATTCCTTGTTTTCATACACATTTTATATTATTATTATATCCTTAATCATATTTTAAAATCTTAATATTTTTAAATTTTAAATTATTATTCTGATTATATATATATGGGTTTGCTAACGTTTACCTCTGTTTTTCACTTGATACATTTTAGAATTTTAGTAGAGAAAAATACTCTTATATATCATAAATTCTAAGTCTTAAGATTAAGGGTATTTTAATAATTTTCATAAAAAAAAAACCCTTGCTCACTTTCCTGTTAAACAATTTCTTACAAAAAAAAATGATTTTATAATGAGTTTTCATTTTATAATTTTCGTCTTATCTAATTTTATCTAATTTTCACAAGCATACATCAAATGAATTGGTAATTGGCCTGGAAACTCTTGGCCTAGAGGGTTTTTTTAGACATCTTGAATGACATTATAGAGGTTAATAAAGATGGTGAAATTGAAGAGATCTTGAATGAACCTTTGTCCGAAGCAATGACTCAACTCTTCACAAAGACAAATTATTTAACATTATTTAATTTTTTACAAAGGCAATTTTATCAAATTGTTAACATTCTTATCTAATGAGGCAAAAAAAAAATTATAAATTGTTTATCATGTTGATCCATCCCATCCCATCCTACAACCTGTATTTTTTTTTTAATTTTGTATTCTTGTGCGTTGAAAATAACTAAATACTCTCTTCATTAATATCAAATATTTATAAGTACTGTTTTTTATAGCAGATTTTCTTATTTACTTGTAAATAATAAATAATTAATCCATAAGTGTTATATTGATCTAAGAAAATATTTCAATAAGATACTCAAGTTTATGATTAAAAAATTATAAATAAATTTAGAAATTTATGATTAAAAATTATAAAACAAAAATTGCAAATTGTTTTCAATTTATTCTAGGCAACTCCTTCTTGCACCTATATAGTTTAGCTTGCATCCATGTAAACTTCAAAATTCCAAATTATCATTTAAAATTTTCCTCTTTTGGATTGTTTCATATAGATAAGGACAAATAGATCATTTCACTACCCATGACAGAGCAAGTTGAAATATACGGAGGTGGTGTATGAAGAAACACCCTTATTTTAGTGTAGAATCTTAACCCATATTTTTGAAAAATAAAAAAGATATATTCATAATTTATAAATTTAATTATTGTTACTGATACAATAAAAATGAATGCATATTTTAGTATAACTATAACTATAATGGTAGTTTGAGGTTGTAATTAATATGCTTTAATAAGTTTTTATCATTTCATAAATTTTATTCATTGAATATTTGAGAACGTTTTCCTAAATCATGTTTTATAGAATTAATATGAGACAATATTCACTTTTAATTCTTTAAATACTAAGAAGAAACTATGCATTATTTGTCCAAAATCTTAAAACAATGAATTTTTTTATTTTTATATAGTGTTCTACTTTCTCATTTCTATCTAATGTGGTTTGGATTCTCAACAATACTCTCAAGGGTGAGTTCCTTCTATATTGGTATAGTCCTCTTCTAACGGAAGCATTCACGGATTTGCTTTTACTACTATTCCAAAAAACCTTTTACCTATTGAGGTATCTTATATATATATATAAACTCATATCTATCTCTTATTTTATCTGGACCGGTATTATTTTTAAGACAAGTTTAAAGTTACACTAGAGTTGCTTTTGAAACTTAAGTTGCAGAAGAAGTTCATTTGAACTTATTTTTCCAAACTTTAATCCAAAACAGCACATAGTTAATCGAAACCTTGTGTTCGAAGTCATTTAGATATGAAAAATAAAAACATTTTCCTTGACAATGATTTTGATGGCTCCAACAGATGAAGACGGAGGAAAATCTAGGTCAAGCAGTGCAAATATCTTTAGGTTAGGCCCAATGGTTCTGCTATCATTTGCAGAAGGACAGAATGTGTTGGATGAGAAGACAAAACTTGTGTCCATTAACTGAGTATGACATGGTCTCACAGGGATCACCAGAGCTAACTCTCAATAATTCAGCTTCCCAAAAGTTAGAGGTGAAAACTCATTATTTTCGTTCCGGTAATACTTCACCTTATTCACAAGTTCATACTTAGATCTAATTTAAATATACTTTTCTTCTTTAATTCTTATATACATTTTTTAAAGATAAAATTATAATATAACTGAGTTCTAAAGAAAATGGTTCAAGAGACTACTTTATTATCTCTACTTTCCTCTTTATATGTTCTTGTACGGTTTCCAAACACATCCTTATCCCAATATAAATGCTATACATAGTTTATTTATATGCATGTAGAGTATCAGATCTACCTTGGACTTTGGTGGGCACACATGTCTCCACAAACTTTTAACTTTTCTTCATGTTTGTAAGTACCTTAAAATGTGTGTTTGTGTGCACATGTATATGTATATGTATATGTATATAATACTGTAAAACTTAAGTTTTCTGCATATTACTACACTACAGTTAATTTTCTTATTGCTACCAAGAGATCCTCATCATCCTTAAGTAATCCAATCCAAGGATCAAGTAATTAACATATATTGAAAACTAATGAACTTCCCTTAATTTGCTCAATGCGCTAATTAACTCTGCATGTTCCCTGATAAGAGAAAAATCACAAATAACAAGAACCTCGATCTACAACATAATATTTTATGGCTACATATATATATATGTGTGGTGGTAGTTGTTAGAGGTAAATAATGACTCAGACGCAGAGAGAGAGTCGTTGATTATGTGGAGAGGTTGCACAGCGAAGGACAGTGAGGAAAAGATGCTCAGTGCAAGGAATATAGAGCTTTGAATCTGCAATGAAATCGTACTCATCCTGAGCCTGATCCAGCAAGGTCTTGAAGAGAGGATGATGGAGCAACGTGATCTTTATCACATATCTCTTGTGGTGTTCTCCCACGTACACAACCAAATGACCCTTTGGCACATCGTTCGGAATATCAGATTCTCCTTCATTCTGCATCCATGGCCACACTTCCCACTCGCAGCAGTAACCGTAGGCACCACACTGGATCACTCGACTCCCCACTTTCTTCCACTTGTTAAGACAACCTCTCAGAAACTTCCCCTTCATTATTCTTCTCTTCAAGCTTCTAAATGTGTTTGTGAGAGAGAGAGAGAGAGAGAAAGAGGGAGAAAAAGTACGTGGAGTACTCCGAACATGAAAATGTTTATATAATTGCGGCATGGCAAGTACAAATGTTCCAGAACATTATGGGATGCATTTGCTTTTCTAAGTCAGATACTTATTTTTTTTTCTCCTTGTTTGATATAAAAGTCGTGTTTTTTTTTTACCTACTATATAATCTTTTAGATTTTTGTTTTCAGTGTGACATGCAAAACTTTCATTTTAAGAATGGTCTTTCTAATTACTCATTAATTACTGAATATTCTGATGATCCTCTCTCTATATAGATAGTTCTTTCCCTAATAAAAACATCTACCAACAAGCATGGCAGAAGACTCCAATCTGAAAACATTTTAAGAATGTGAAACATTTTATTTAGGATTTGTGTTACATTCGGCTAGGTTTTACTTGAGCTAAAAACCAAAGATACAGTAAATGGTTGACATGATACATCGTAGCTTTTGCCTATACAATTATTGCGGAAACATCAATATCCAATTAGTGTGTCAGATACTTGGATACATCAAAATCTAATATATATTATAATATTATTCTAAAGCGTGTCACAGATACTTAGCTGACTTTGCTTTTTAGCAGCTTCTTTGTAGCATTGCACCTTGTCAAATTATACCAGCATGCAATGCCAGAGTAATTGCTTAGAAATAGTAGATTAATCTCAGTTATAATACAGTCAAAATAACTTTTATGTTAGCTCTCGCTAGATCGATAGATATACATGTCATTTACACGGTTTTTGGCTTATAGCTGTAAATTTAATTTTAGAATGTTTTGAATTTTAAGTTAAAGGTGACTTTTAACTAAGTAAACATATTGAAAAATCTAGGTTTTGTGTGATCTTTTATAATGGTACTTACAATTACATTTACTTTTGAATTAGTAGAATCAGGCCAAAATGTCAACTATATACTAGCAGTTAAAATGAGGAATCATATTTACATAACTTTTTATAAAAGTTATACAGAAGAGAATGAAATATATGATAAAATAATTAACATGATTAAGAGAGATAGAGCACAAACAGTAACACTGCAAATAAATAATAAAAGACTGCTGCATTGACAATATGCAGACATACCAGTTAAATTTGCTCATAAAAGCCACTTGACAGTAAATTTAATGTGCTAATTTAATTAATATCTATCCCAAGATGTAAGGATAGTGTCTTTCTCTGTAATTCTTAAAGGTCGGTGCCTGATAGAGTGACCTTTCGAAGTTCTTAACATTCAGACCCCACAACTTGGTTAGGAAAAGATAAGATATGAATGAGGGATGGGAAAAAGCTTTTTGGGTGAAGTGCAAAACCGCTTATTTCTCTTGAATTTTCATATTTTTATATTCCTTTCTATTTTACAATGAATATTTAGTAAGCTTTATATAGTGATAATAAATTCTAGTATAATTATTGCTGTGTATTTTATCCTTGTATCACGGATAAATAAACATGAGCAGCCACAAACATGTGTCTCAAGAGGATGTGATACCCACATCTGTTTATTTTCTTTAGTGCATTTAGACCTACTCAGACATTTTTACTGTAGAACATTGGTGTCTTTGTCACTTTTTAAGCACGTATTGATGTGAATTTATTGTTCTTATTTGGACTTGTTTCAGATACAAAAACCTTGAATTTCTGCATAACGGCCAAGGCTTTTACTTTTTCATGGTACTATCCGTACAAAAATGTTATTCAGTCCTTTAAGAAAAGGAGTTTGTGATTAGTTTCATTGTTCCTACTTACGTATTTAGGAATGGGTTATCCTATGTTTCCTCGTAACTGTTTCTACGGTCAGAGAAGTTTTAGGAGGAAATGTGTATAAGATAACTTATAAAATGAATGATGTGATGAAAATAAATAAGTAAAAAAACTTGCAGAAAATTGTTATAATAAAATATCTCTTTTATGGGCTATACATTGAATAAGGGATGGAAGAAAACATGTAGACAAAAGAATGACTCTCACAGTTCTTTACCCTGCTGAAATCCTTGCCTTGGTATATGTGACATGTTTGACTTGATTCCCGCAATCCGGTTTCTCATACAAAATTCATTGGTTTTCAAGTTTCAGTTATTTATTGGTCTTAATCTTATCATTGAAGCACATGAAACTTTTTTAGAAGGAAGGTGAACAATTTTTACCAAGAAAGATAATTTTGTAATAAGAAAGTATACTATACAGATAAACTGAAAGTGTAACCAAAAATATAAACTAAAAAGATCAAAGAACCAAACAATTTGTATCAAGACAGATGCTTTTGCCACTCTATTTTGGTTGAGATGTTGAGGAAAAAGTGGGGTAGTTCTTAAAATCTTACCTTTTCATACTATAATTAGAAAGCTATAAGGGAGCTGGAAACACTATTTTCTACGAAAGAAAAACTTTTAGCTCTTTTATTGAAAATAATTGACGACGATGGGGTTTATGATCCTTTTTTTGTGGTCTGTTCTTCATAGACAGATGCTCAGAGACCACTGAGACTCAGCGTGCTAACCCTAGACAAAAGTGGGTCGTGCTGGGTTGTATGAAAAGAATAGCATGTTTATTTTGACACAACCTGCAACAGTTTTCCAGATATGAGAGGGACCATGCCAAGTATATGTTATGGAAAAGCCTTTTTGTGGATTTTTTGAAATTAATTTCGCAATGGAAATACTATTTATGCAAGAAGATTAGTTCAAAAATGAACCTGGACAATTATTTCCATAGAAATTGCCATGTCAAATAACCAAATATAGCAAATCTGTGTAGAAAAGGAAAATTCACGAACTGTCACAAATGAAAGTCAAACTTCCATTTTCAGAAGATTTGATCATGTAGTTAATGCTTCTTGATCTCTTGTTTTCACACTAATTTAGTCTCCTCTTCCAACAGCTGTTATCTTTAGTTTGTGTTATGATGATCATTTTGTAGCAACATCGTTACTGCAAAT